ATTCCGTTCAAAATGGGGCACAGCCGACATGTTATTTTCATCACTTCAGCTGAAGGAAAAATGGTAATAGCAACACAGCTATTGGTTGATGAGACTGATAACGGAATTTAGAGACCTCTTATTTGCTGATGAATTTGCCCTAAACACAAGATCGGAACTGAAAATGCAGCAAATATTTGATCGCTTTGCTAAGACCTGCGAGAACTACGGCCTCCTCATCAGTACTAAAAAAACTCCCAAAGATCTCGCAGCAGCCAGCTCCAGGAAAAGCTTACAAAGAACATAAAATATCAGTGAAGAGTCATTATTTTAAAGCAGTGGAACAATTCACATATTTGCGGAGCACCCTCTACTTGTCAGTAACAATAGTTGTTGACATTAATAACCAAATTTACAAAGCAAATGCTGCATTCGGAAGGCTCCGCGAGAGTGTCTGGGTGCGAAGGGATCTCAAGCGTGTAGGGCAATCGTGTTAACATCTCTTTATATATACTAGAGAGATGTGGACAGTGTACAGCAGAAATTTTAGACAACTAAACCAGCTCCACCTACCGTGTCTAAGTTAAATTTTTTGGCATAAGGTGGCAGGACAATGTTCCTAATATATAAGTCCTACAATAGGCTGACTTTATCACCATTCACACACCCCTACAAAAGGAACACGCCAGATGGGGAGGGCATGTTGCGAGAAGGCCATGAGAGCATACTGCCTAAATACCTAATGTTGAGATTCAAATCCATGGACATCAACCTTAACTCGTGGGAAACACTTGATATGGATCGCAGTCGCTGGCGAGACAAACTCACTGTTGGAGCACAATGCTCGGAGAATAAACGCACCGCTCACGCCCAAAGAAAGCACACGGCAGGGAAAAGCAGAATCGGCTCAAATCCAACTAGGACCTAAAAACAACGCGTGTACCACGTGCGGGAAAGCTTTACAGCCACAAAAAGAATGCGTACTCCCCGTTGAATATAGCCTTCGTCATCTTCGCATTCAAAAGACGAACAACAAAGTTCTTTTAGCGATTAATGTAAAAAATATTGTGAAATTTGTGATCAAGGCTATACTAAGGTGTCTCCAAAGGCTTTGTTAAATTTTAAAAAAGGAATTTTTAAAAGCTAAAAAACATACTTATAAAAAGATAGAAATGACTTTAAGGTTAATTATATTAAACAACAGTAAGAATCAGATGATCATGGTAAAATTGAAGCAAGGAGCAAAGAAAGCCCATTCAAGGTACTTAAAAAGTTGTAATATTTGCAAAGGAATAATATTGAACTTGCTAGCCCCTTATCATCTAGATTTTTTTCTTGTAGATTACTATCAGGAAGTAAGAGTCGAAAATCATTCCCTTTGTTAAATGACAATCAATATCACAAGATAAGGGTGACTTGTCAAACAAATCTCAACTGCCACCTATCCCATAATTTTGCGCACATATAAAAGCTCATGAACTAAATTAAACTTTGTTCTTTTTCTTTCGTAAAGTCACGGCTACAAAATCTTATCCATTTTATGAATATTGAAAGGAGCCTTATGAGGAAAAAAAACATAAAACATTTCTGTCAGAAATTCACCTACACTCCACGCATGAAGTGAACGAATGTGTAAGTAAATTAGTTGTTTTTTTTTAAATCGTTGCAGTCTTACGTTTTAGATTTCTTAAAGGTTTCGCTTCACAAGATAAAAGATCCCCTTTGCAGAGCATTGTACTAATCATTACATATTTTCGTCTTTTCGCTTCGTTTAGGCATGCAGCACTTAACAGATAAAAGACCGTCACATTCTTTAAAATGGGCACTGTATACTTATTGATCCTCTTTGCTACATCTAACCTCATCATTGTTGGATCTGGACAAGCGTCAACTAACACAGGTTAAGTCAACACGTTCAATTGTGTTTAAGAGAAAAAACAAAAAAAAAAAAACTGAGGTGTATTCACATTTGACCCTTTCACACCGCTGTACACATTTTTTAACATAGGGTAGGTCTATTGAAAGATCTTTAGCTTTATTTCTGTTTTTTAGCGAGAATTGGTGTTTGAAACAATCCACTTCCTATGACAGCAATGAAAAGAAACACTTTTCAGAATAACATTAGCTCAGATTCGAATGATCCCATTGGATAAAATGTAAACTCTTACAAAATCATATACCATAAACATTGTTGGGATTTTCTTAATTACATAATATTTTTAGTGAGTGGAATTTCTTGTCCCTTAAAATAAGACGACTACGAAAATTAGTTTTATTAATTCAAATGATGTTAATTCAAAACGATGTTCAGTCAAAATGATGTTAATTCAAAATGATGTTAATTCAAAATGATGTTAATTCAAAATGATGTTAATTCAAAAAGATGTGGCCAAACCTTAGTGAGCATGTGGCCAAACCTGAGTGCGCACGTAGAACGAACTTGTCTGTTAGAACCGTGAAGATTTGACCCTTCGTGTCGCACAGAGCACCAAGAGGCTTGATGTTCAAAGCTTTCAGTGAGGCTTTCAAGATGTTTCTAGTGTTGTTTCTCACCTCAATTGAACTTTTATGCTGGCACTCGGCAATAAAATGTCGTCAGTGATGAATTTTTTAATGACCCGATTCGTCCGTTTGCGATTACAGCTGCTAGTGTATCCACACCGATCACCATTTTGGCCGGCAGTTCCCAAGGAACTTTGTTTTGAGAGGAAATGGGAAGAATGAATTACGCGATGGATTGGATGCAAGGAACGAAGATTTGTGTACATTGTTATTCCAGCTTTCTTGCAACAAGCCATTTGAATATAACAGCAAAACAAAGTCTAAAACTTCGGAGATAATTTTTTTTTTTTACGGTAGATAGTAAATCGCCTAGATAGTAAATGGCGATTTACTTGACATGTACTTCTCACCGCTTTGCTGGCTCAGACGATCTGTCCGATGGCACGCCGTGGTTAATCCAGGCGACCCGACCTTTCTAGTATCCGCATATTACCTAAATTCTCCTCTAACGTTTATATCAATTCCTTGCTACATGACTGAATATATTGTCATGGGTGTTCACTTATTTAGAACACAAAATAAAATAATTGACGTTATTTTCACAGAATGTGGAGGGCAACTAACATCTCAAGCAGGGAATATTATGTCACCAAATTATCCAAACAGCTACCCAGACAGTGTAACTTGTGAATGGACCATAACCGTTGCTGACAACCAAGTTATAACTCTCAAGTATAATAAACATTTTAAAACCTTATAAGTCATTACCTATGCCCCGTTAACACTCAAAGAGAGTGAGAAGTTTTTCATTTTCTTAAATTATTGCAATATTTAAAATATTGAAGCATTTATAATAAAAAAAATAAAATAAAACATTAAAAAGTGTACTTTTAGAATTTATTTTTAAGGCTTTAAGATGACCACATGCGCGCACGCTCAATCTATCTCGCTCTCTTTCTCTCTCTCTCTCTCTCTCTCTCTCTCTCTCTCTCTCTCTCTCTCTCTCTCTCTCTCTCTCTCTCACCCCCCCCCGCCCGCACATACACTCACATATGAGATATAAATAATCTCTCTATCTCTCTCTCTCTCTCTCTCTCTCTCTCTCTCTCTCTCTCTCTCTCTCTCTCTCTCTCTCTCTCTCTCTCTCTCTCTGACACCCACCCACGCACGCACATACATTCACATATGAGATATAAATAATTTAAAAAATGTAAAGGTAATTTTAAAATTAAACATTGAAACGCATTTTGATTTTTATTCATAATAATGTATAATCTTGTATTTTTCTTCGGCAAATCTCTAGATTCCATGACTTTCGTGTGGATGGCCATGATACGGTCATCTCTTATGACGGAGACAGTGTAACGAAGCCAGTCCTCAACAATGGAAATGAAAATCAAACTGGATTTTGGGGAGATTCAAAACTGTCCAATTTCCGTATTCGTTCAACCGGCCATAGCTTACATATTAGGTTTACTGCTTCCTACCCACCGTCTGGTCCAGGATTTAGTGCTTCTTA